TGATTTTAGCTCTTAGTTTGTCACTCATTCCCTTCTCTGGTGTACCATACTGGTTTTGTTGCTTTCCTGGTACCCATAATGTATGAAGAACTGTCTTTGCCCTTTCAACTTTCTGCAGAGGTCCTTATTCAACATCTAGAGCAATGTCTGGAATACAATAGGTAACATTAATAAGAAATTAAATATATTTTAAAAAATGAATTAATAACTCATTAAACAACTGATTTGTTTTAGATTATTAAGGTAACAGTGCACACCCTGTGTCATTTGAATGACAGACCAAGGCAAATGCCTGCAATATATTAAAGTGTTAGCTAAAATCATTGTAGTATACTATGTGAAAAACATACAAACAGCACCTCATTGGGGGTCATAGATAGAGAAGTGTTCTCAGGTGACGTAATGGTTGAACAGAGACCCAGAGATTGTTTAGGAAGTTTTCCAACAGAGATCTGTTAGAGGTATGGTATTCGGGAAAATTCTAGCCATAAATTTAGAGTAGTAGTAAATGTTATAAAGGATAACACATTCACAAGCAAAGAAGTATGGCTTTGAAATAGAGGGAGAGTGAAAACTACTGAGCAAGAGAGTAGCATCATCATATCTTTTAAATAATATTGGATCTAGTAGGAAGAGTGCATTGGGTATTGGCAAACATGGAGTCAGCAGCATTGGATAAAATTTTATTGCTGCAATATAGATAAGAGATAAAGGCAAAGTAAACTAAAGCTCAGGGGAAAGTCTTGGAAAACACAACTGGGCTCTGCTAACTCAATGCTAAATTGCTGCTGCATATAGCTATAAGAATTTGAAAGGACAAACAAGCTCACAAGCTGTGGCCTGAAGTACCACCTGCCATCTGTATTGCCTGGAATTTAAGAACAGCTGTTGCTAAGCATGGACAAATTCAATTTTTGTGAACACTTTGCACAAAGCACCATCGGCGTTGAAGAACTGACTGCAGGCACAGAGAGAAGTCTGATGTAACACACACAACACAGCTGTACTTAGTATGTTCATTCATTCACTCATCACAGATGCCCGCTGAGTGAGAGTGAGTGTTATACTTCTAAAGCCCATGGGTACCCCATCAAACAGACAGAAAGTCTTGTCCTTATAGAGATTATACTCCAGTATGAAAAAATAAACATATGTCTACAGTAGTTTGTCAGATGAGAATTGATACAGAGAAAAATAAGGGGAAGAAGAGGTTGGCAGTACCAGGGAAGGGAAAGGGCAGCCTCAGACTCTGCCAAGGAGAAGTGAGTGACTACACCAATGAATCTTAGAGAGATGGAAGGGAGATGAGGAATCATTTGTGTGATAGACACACGGTTCTTAGACCAGAGAGAAAATTCTCACATAACTAGGTGGTTTTATTCTAAAATACATAACCAGGTTAAGTGCCCTTGCTTAACTAGTGAAAAGTGTATTTCCATCAAGGAGGTTGATGCCATGGCTGGCCCTAGATAAACTGACCTGGTCCTTCCTTGGACACAGCTAGATTCTGGGAGCTTCTTAGGGACATATGTCTTAGGGACATATGAGGTCAGAGATTTAAAACAGGTCCTACCCTAGAACCACAATGACGTGGTATATAGGGGCATCTCTCAGATTTAGTTGGCTTATACACAACCTCATGTCTAACCACCATCAGTTGTAGCTTTGTTTGGATTGATACTTTCAAATTGTAGAAAGTATATGTTGAAGAGATGTCTTCACTTCACTTCACTGCTATCACAATATAACTCATGAAATCTTTGTCAACAAATGAAAGTGAGTGTGATTGTATAAATATATATATATATATATATATATATATATATATTCAATGGATTACTATACAACCTTAAAAAAGGAAATCCTATCATTTGCAACTTGTATGAATGTGGAGGCTATTTTGTTTTGTTAGATGAAATAAGCACTGACAAGAAAGACAAAGATGCATTATTTCATTTATATATGTAGTTTAAAAATTCGAGTTTATAGAAATAGAAAAACGGTAGTTACCAGAGCATAAGGGATGAAAAGGTTAGGGAGATGTTGGTCGAAGGAAACAATGGTTATATTTTTTTCTTTATAAATATACTATATGAAAATAATTTTAAATGAAAAGTATTGAAAGTTAAACAAAAATCGCTTTTTTTTTCATCCAGATGGAAGCAAGTTTCTTTCTGAGGTTTTGACATTTCAGACAATGGGTACATAGAGGAACTGAGTACTGTTAAATGCAGAGAAAGCTTCCCTTTTCTGGTAATAAGAATACTGTTGTACAGGTAGAACATTTGACTGCCTCTTGAATGCTGAACTTACTTTTCTAATGGTTGAATGTCCCTCTTTGGGGTATAATCTCAATAGTCCAAGCAGCAGAGGTCAGCATGTCCTAAAAGCAAACACTCTATGCCTATAAATTCATGACTATATATATTTTTTACAGAATGGCATACTTTGATTGGGGATAACTTTACCTAAGCTATTATATGTATATAAATGGCACATTTGAGTAAGGAAGCCTGTTGGAGAATTGTGACATATGTTCAACATAAAAATAAAGAACCGTTCTTTACTAACCTAATTATTGAGAACATTGCTTACCATCTCTGGGCACAGGGTTTTCATTTGTGACAATAATATCCACCTTTCTATATCTCAGGTTGTTAGTACGAAAGATGACACATGAGAAAAATCTTTATAAATTGCAATGCTGTTATTAATGATGAAGCTATACACTAGGTGTTTCAAATGCTCTGGTTTAAACTCAACTTTCAAGGTTTGTATCTTCTAACTACAGGAACTCAAGTGGACCAAAATTGTAACATTAAACTGCAGTGCCCCCTAGCCCACTGAGGCAGTCAGTGCAGCTGAATGGCCTCATGAATAAGAACCAGCACAGATGGTTCTTTTGCCTGAGGGAAGGGCTGTTAACTGTACTTTTGGATGCTTTCCATCTGTCCAAAAGGGGGGAAAACCACTTTCTTTCTTCAAACTAAGCCTTTCTTGCCTGAAATATTATTTTTATTTTTAATTTTTAAAAAGGAGTGAAATTGTAAATACCATTTACTACTTAAACTTTCCTTTTCCAAATTGCTTTAAATGGAGGGTAGCTGTAAAAGAACAGTACTGCACTAGATTTACCATGGATTCACCGTGAATCTGATTTGTATTTTGATTACCTATTTACATTCACTCAACCCTTTGTAATACAGCGTGATAAAGGTGTATCAGTCAAAGTACTTTTCACCAAAGGGGACTTAGAGGTTAAGCTCTTTTGTAAGATTTCACAGAAAGTTGTTACTATATGCTTTAGCCCTTTAGTGCCAATGCACATGAAACTCACAACACATATAAAGTCATGTAAGGAAATATCATTGAATATTTTATCAAAATGTAGAACCACTTGCTAATATGGTTTATAAAAATACATCAGTTACTTTCTTCCAGTCTGCAGTTCTTTATCTCAAATTCCTAATTTCATACACTTTTAGTAGAAATTTTTTTAAAATGGTCTAGTAGATAAATTGAGTTCCAAACCTATGAGTCCTTGAGAAACAGAACTTGCATTGGGAGTTTATTTTCCATACTGAGCACTTGAGTATTAATCAGCTCAGTTTTCAGGGATTTTTTATTTTTTTCTAAAATCCTTTCTATAAGATAAGGGCTGCAATTCGTTATACACCGGAGGGGACGAGACTTTGCTAAGCTTTGCCTTTCGGACTTTTATCCCAGATAGTGTGTGTGGTGTGTTGTGTGGATCACTAGGCTGGAATTATGGCATAATTTAGGGTACCTTTCAGATTAAACCTCTCTCCTCTGATCTGTTAAAGACGGTTTCACCCGCAGTGTGCTTCCTGTTACCTACTAAGGGAGGAGGCCAATGTGAAAGGGGGTGACTTTTATTACCAGCTATTTTCTTTTATGTGGCTCCATCAACCAAACTCGGGAAACTCTCACAAAATAAAAACTACTCTTACAGTGAGCTGATCACTTCTAAGTCAAAACCTCGACCACGTTTGCAGCAGACTTCCGCCTCTATTTCTTTTATGAATAAACATCACAAACAGCAACAACAACAAACCCTGAAGCTTAGAGCAGAGGATGGAGGGCAGCAGCACAAACCTCTTCTTGCTGCCTTTCCAACTTGGTGGTGGAGATTAAATTTTGGGTGAGGATGCTGGCATTCACAGGCAGGGCGAGAGAAAAGTGTGTCTAATTGCACATTAATGGCAGACTCGGCCTCAAGCAGGCTCCTCCTGGCACCCCGGTGGATGCTGAGCCCCTGCTCTCTTTAAGAGAGCCCCTCACCCGGCCCCTCCCAGCCCGGGCTCGTCAGCTTGCCGAGAGCCGCGGTTGGTCCAGGCCGGCGAGCCCAGCGCCTCGCGGAGCGGCTGCTAACTGGGGGTGGGGTGCGGTGGGGTGGGGGGTTCTGTTTGTAGTACTCGCGGTCCTGATGTCACAGGCGCGGCAAGGACATCGCAAGGAGGAGTCGGATTACAGTAAGGATGGGCAGTGCAGCGGGCAGCCGGAGCGCGAGCTGCAGCGGCCGGGGATCGTAGCCTGGGAGGGCAGCCTGCGCGGCGCGCAGCCCACGGAGCGGGCACGCTGGGCGCTGCTGCTCCCCACGCCCGAGACGGTTCCACCGAAGGTAGCATGCAACGGCTCCGCTTGGCGCGTCATCCCGGGCTGCGAGCTGAGGCTGCAGACGCCGCCGCCGTGGGGTTCCAGCTATCTGATTAATGAGAAACATAATGTATTTTGGTGAGTGTTCGCTTCGATGATGCAATTCTGGGGGTGCCCGGCTCTTCACCAAGCAGAGGAGCCTTTAGGAAATAATCTTTGCGCTGCGAGAATGTCACATAAAGCCTGCCTCCAGTTGGCAACTGGGGAACCACGCTGGTGCGGCTTCCAAAGCTTCCATTGTGCCCCAGTTCAGGCTGTTGATCAGCCATGGATGAGTTTGAGTTGGAAAAGAAGAGAGCCTGGGGTGGTGGGTGGATAAACTTTGCCTTCCTTGGTCGGCGTGAAGTTGGCTTTTTTAGAAAAGCTAGGTGAAGAGGAGAAATTCTGCAGTGTGGGAAGGAATGGGCTAACTTAATGGCATGTGAACAAAGTTCCTGTACTATTGATGCTATGAAAGCTGAGTTAAAATGAACGTTTCATTAGGCGCCGGGTTTTCCCTCAATTCCCTGTCAGCAGAGGAAAACATTCCTGTAGTGGGTTGTGAGAGTCGCTGAGAACTCTCCTCCTTACCACCCGGTTGTTTCCCCGGCTAAGAGCAGCCTCCTGCAAAATGCATATTACTTTAAACCTTTGAAGGTCTCAGAGCTGTTAAATATTTGTGTGGTTTAGTTCCGTGCCACGGTGGAAACCTCCCTTAGGTGTTCAGCGGAGCTGCCTGCATTTCCAGAAAGCATGTTGAGGCTTCGATCCGGACTGTCAGCTGAGCACTGTAAGTGGGCTCAGAGCTGCGCGTTTGCACTGTATGGCTGCCACTCACTGCTAGAGAGAAGGCAAAAGCCCTGCACTCCACAGGAGGAAACCGGGGATCTGGACCGAGTCTCCTCTCCTCATCTTAGGAGTTATGCTTTCCTTCTGTAAGTTCCCTCTGGTGCCATCGTTTTAAAGACATCTTACATTAAAAGGTTTGTGAGAGAAACTGGAGAGGAGCTAGGGGATGATGTGATTGGTTTAAATGCTGAATCTAGAGACTTCTTTCAATTTAGAAAAGTATTTAGAAATACTTGAATTGGAGCACTATTAGTTTGTTGGATGTTTATCTCTGTGTCTGTTATTTACTTTGTTTTGTTTTCTTGAGCTTTTGAAACATTTGTTAAAGTATGGAAGGAACGTGAGCTGCAAAAGCTAAAAGCCTCTAGTTGTCTTGACAGCAGTTTTGATTTCCCTATAATTTGCGTCATATTAGAAAAGATGTCTTAAAATATCCAAAATTTATTTGAAAGAAACAATCCTAACTTCTTAGTTAAATTTAAGCAGAATCTCGAGTGAGGCAAACAGCTCTTTCCTGGGAGCTGTGATGAAGGTGGTCAGACTGTTCATTGGCAATTAATAAAACATTGTTCACCATGCTTGTATTTGACAGATGGAAAAGACTATAAAAATCATATGTCTTGGATAAAATAACATTTTGGCATTTGTAAAATGATTTTGAGAGATTTTACTATTAGTTGTTAAGTTTTTGAGATTGTGTAAGGAGTCTTTATGTGGTGAACAGTAGTGCTAACTAGAGAAGCAGGAGAGTCTAAAAGTCGAAGACCATCCGTGCTGCACCGGATTGTTGTGCGGCTTCTGGAGAAGTGTTCACTTAGCTGGTTCATGTCATTAGCTGTAGGCTAGTCCAGCTTTCTTATGAAGCAGTGTGATTCACGGTGGAATTAGTTTCATTATGTAATGCAAGTTTTTAATAGTATAAATTGAACTGTGATGTCCTACTTACCTCATATGAAACTGTCCTGTGTCTTGAACATGGTTCAGTCTCATCATAATTGTAACATTAGAATATTTTCTTCTATTCCTGTAGAAATCATGTGTATTCAGGGTTGGTGTTTATTTCAGGTTATGCTCTACAGCCCCTCACTGTAGCTACTGGACATCCAGAACTCTGGGCGCCTAACTGTCTGTAATAAAATGTGATGTGCAAGATATAGGGCAAAAAGCATTGAGGAGAACACTGCAGGCATGTGAAAGATCCAATAGCATTCTAATGTTTGCAAACCTCTGAGACTGCATAGGTGTGTATGTATGCAAATATATGTGTGTCTATATTTATGTGTATCTCTGTGTGTATCTAATGTTTCGTCTATGTCAGGTAATTTTTCAAATCCATGCTTTGACTTTGCAAACTGGTTGACCATTACTTTTTTTCATTTTTTAAACTGCAACTGGTTTATCAAGTCAGGGAAAACAGGTACAAAAAGAAGGCTGCACTTTATTCTTGGGATTTTCTGGTGATTTGTGGAAATGAGGTAGAAGTGTCAGAGATCTTTTATTTGTGCCCCCAGCAGGGAGTGGAGGACAGCATGATGATGCTATGCTACTAGGTGAATTGATATGAAAGCAGGAATTTACTTCCTTTATCATCTGATTGTCAAGTGTACGCCCTTTCAAACAGAACTGAATAATGGTTGCTGACTTAGCCTATCTGTTTCTCTTTAACCCTGTTTTCTCTTAGGGACCGGTGATAGTTGGATCCTGTCCTAGCCCAGTGGGAGTCTCTTGTGTGTGTGTGTGTGTGTGTGTATGGAAGTTGGTGAAATATGTAATATTTCTAGTTCATGTTTTGAGTGTGCTGCTCCAGACTTACAAGACTTATGGAACCTTTTAATGACTTTAAGCCACACTCTTATCTCCTATTGAAATTTTAGTGCACTGTTTTCAACAACTGTCCCTTTGTCCTTACTGTGCAGTGATTTAAGAGTTTGCTGTTCAGTCACCGTGGATACTTTTGTTACTTATTGTATCGATCTTGCATTCATTACTTGGAGTTAAGTATGAGGTTCACAGGCAAGAGAAGCAGGGAAAATCCCCGTCAGCATCTTGAGGAATGGAAAAGCAAGGGGAAAATAATAAATACTATGAAGTTACACTCCCCATCCCAATAAATATTTTACACAGTTAAAATTTTACATGTGCCAAGGATGAGTAGCCATTAATAATTTATTCAGAAATAAAAGCAAACAGCTGGGAAGCTTCTTCCCTGATTACGGAAGGGAGGTTGTGGGTGCTTGTCAGTCCAACAGGCAGTGCTGCCAGGTTACAGTTTGGTTCAGAAAATGTGCTGGTATGAAGGGCAGGTTCTTTGCTTGAGTGCATCCTGGCACTTGATCAGTGCCCGGCAAAAGATTGTAACTGTACACTGACTCCAGTTCTGAGCACCGTCCATCCCTTCTCATCTGGCCTGACATCCTTCTCTGGTGATGAAGTGGTGAGCCGTCGGTGACAGTGGTCATGCCACCTACACAAGTCACTTAGGTCTGGCAGACACATGTGTGCCTTATCCTTTGCCATCAGGGAAAAAATAGGAGGTTAGTTGGATCTGAAAAATTCTGTGTGGCCCCAAGTCAGTGTGCTTATCCAGGCCTGTTTCAAATAGATAGAGACCATGGAGAGTTTGCATTCAAGGGGAAATGCTCCAGAAAAATAAAATGGAAAGTATAATAAATGAGCAGAAACAAGAGACAAATTTTAATGCTCACTGGAAGTGTTGCTATTAATAGCATATTAATTAAACCTAGAGAAAAGGGCAGACAAAATTTAGAAAGTGTGAATGAACCATTCAAGTTAAGCTTGGTGTTAACCGTGGGCCAGCTGTCTCCTTTAAAATACCTAATAAAAGATGGAAAAGTATTTAGTGGTGTGCCTGTTATAGCAAAAGGTACTTTATCAAGAAAGCTTTTAATACAATTGCTAAGACAATTCTAAACCAGAATCTTATTCCTCTGCCTATAATAGGCACGTTTGCACCATCTGAGGATAGACTTTGTTCTTTCCCCAAGATGTCTTGAACATTGTTCCATCAACATTTACACTTTGATTGTAGCTGGACCATCACGTTTAACGTCCAATGCAGTATGTTAGAAACACAGTTAAATGGCGAGGTCATGAGGAAGCAACTGATTAGAAAACAGCACGCAGCAGAGAAACACATCCCTCTCTTTTAGTGTGTTCAATGGAAACATTTAACCCCTTCTAATTAGTTGGTAGTGAGTGATCTGTTATGGGGAATTAGGGCCACTAGAGCCTTCCTATACACTCAGGAGATGTTTCTGTCTTTCTTGTGCCTGACAAGGGGGCAGAATAATTAGGAAAGAATTTATATTTTTTGTTTTAATCTTTGGAGTCATTACCGTTATATTTTATTACAAATGAATCTCATGACATGCAATAAATTAATGAATAACAGGGGTGGGGAGTGTGTTGGGTGGATAGTGTCAGACGGGTCACAGGAAAGAACCTGAAATCAAAAAGAACTTTAAAACGGTAAAGATTTCTTCTTAAAACAGCCGTCTTTTAAGTTCACCAGACATCCTTATTTTAAGACGCAAAAGTCCAAATTTAATCAAATTGCCAGTAACACAGACTCTTTAATATAGCCTTAAAGTTTGAGCTGATATCTTCCCTTCCTCTTTTTATAGAATCTCTTTACTTACTCTAATTATATTGAAATGAGAAAAGTTTATTTAAGGAATAATTTCCAAAATTCAAGAGATAATGAGGACCTCTGCAGTTACCCTTTTTTGGGGGGGGGGGGCGGGGCTGGAAAAGCTTATCACAAATACAGACAACAGTTTTAAATTTGTGGTTTCTCTGACTCCCCATTTCAGAAAGCCTGGTCATAGCTGCTTTTGATTAAAAAAGCATAGGACAAGATGTGTTAGTGAGCGTGTATCAGACAAGATGACATCAAACAGTGCCTCAGTGTCCAAATACCTCTGTGGTTTTCTTCATTTTCAGCCTTTATGCATTCCTGCATCTTTCTACATCATTGTGCTATACCACTTAAAGATAGTTTGAAAAAGATAAATATTAAAATAATTTTGAGTACAACTGGCTTACAGGTTCAATAAGTGTCCTATAAACTGTAGAATTAAAAAAATTAGGTCATAAGGCTAATTCTCACTGCTTTTCTGCTTTAGAAAGAGTGACACTTGCATAAACAGAAACCTGTTTCTAGTCTGACCTTGAGCATGGGATGATTCTATTTGTATTTTACTATGAAAAACGTGAAAAACCAGCCAAGGTCGTGGTCACTGCCCTCTCCCTTTCTATTTCTCTTTTTAAAAAGCCATTACATGTCATTTCCCACAAAGATTAGTTTTGCAGCAGAATTTCACACATAGTGGATAGCATTAAGCGAAACTACAGCATAAGAGGTAGTTAGAAATAGCAAAGCTTAGAGTAGTTGAAATCAGGCTTCAGTCAAATTGCTAGGGTTGAAAATAGGAAGACGCTCTGCTTTGTCACAGCTCTAAAGTCATTATGCAGCAGCTGGAAGTCAGAGCTCTTCTAGTGTGAACTCCGGGTCTGCACAGCTTTGGAAATGGAAGGTATTTCCGTGAAGCAAAAAAACCTCTAGTGCATTTGAACCTTTAGGAGCGCGCTGCAAGAGTTGCCTAGACATCCTTCTGTCTTTCATCAGTTTTTTCAGCTCTCTCTATCTCTGCCTCTTCCTCCTCTTCCTCTCTCTCTCTCTCTCTCTCTCTCTCTCTCTCTCTCTCTGTCTCTCTGTCTTTTCTTTCTCTCTGTCTTTTCTTTCTCTGTGTCTTTTCTCTCTCTCCCTCTGTCCTTGTCTTTGCCTACTAGCAATATCACATTTCTGTAAGTTGAGCGGAAGAAGAAGGGTAACCTGTCCAAGGTCAGAAGGGAAATCAGCAGTGCTATCAGGATTGATGCTCAGAGGAAACGCTGTCTGCCTCATAGCGTTGTATCTGGTAGCTGAGGAGTGTGGGGCTGTGGATGGAGTTGGTGAGCTGAGAGCCAGTGATGGATGCATGTTGTTGAATGTGTCCTTAGCACCCTGCTCAGTGCCCAGTGCATAGAAATACATGTTGGATGCTCTAGATTGAATGGATGTGGA